TTACCCCTACCCCAGCCGAACCCAGGACAAGACCTTTTAGATTCAGGTTTCAGCCTGTAGCTCCCTCCCAGCCTCTCTTTTCTAGAAAATCTGTTATTGTAGTAAGACAAAGACACTACAGCAAAGCAAGCTAAACAGAATAATGTTCCACTAGGACACAGAAACCAGAGCTTTAACTTACTTTGTTCATGACAACAATGAAAGGTAGCTTTGTCTTGTACAGGATACTGCGGGGGGGGGGGGGGGGGGGGGACCGCACACAAAAAAAAATTAAAAATTAATTTAAGTCTCACTAGAATAGAAAACAAGTTAAGCGTAAGGCAGACAAGAATTGTGCAACACTGAATACATTTGACTTCAAAAGACAATTACGTTCCTCTACATCAATCAGAATGTAATTTTCACCCAGATCCTGCTTACCATAATTGAACAAGATATGCCCCTACCAAGATGAAAGCACACATCTGTAAGATAGAAAATCTCCTTCTACACACCCAGTTGATTTTGATTACTATTTCTATGACTCTTAGATCCCAGTTTAACATGAAAGAAAACAGATAAATCCATGTACGAGGAGGAAGACAATAAATCAAGAACTCCATGCTATGCTGAGCTCCAAACAAATCTTGAAGAATCACTGAAAGTATCAATAATATTAAAAAAATAAAGTATTATGTGTTTACAAGAAGGAGCTTAAACTAGGCTGTCTCAATACATCTTAGATAAATGATTTTCTAAGCAACAGGCAATGTGTTAGATCTGATGGAACTACCCTTTATCACACTAAGGTCTCATGGATTATTTAATGCTTTCAGTGGGAGTTTTGACCCAATGACCTCCAGATGTCCTTTGGCACCTAAATTATTTTACTTATCCAATGGGAAAACCACTAAGACAGAGAATAACCAAACCAGCAGATTAAGTTCATATGAGGTATCAATGTGCGCTTGCAGCCCAGAAAGCCCAATCGTATTCTGGGCAGCATCAAAAGAAGCACGGCCAGCAGGTCGAGGGAGGGGATTCTGTCCCTCTATCCTGCTCTGGTGAGACCCTGCCTGGAGCATTGGGTTCAGCTCTGGGGCCCATGGTACAAGAAAGACATGGACCTGTTAGAGCGGGTCCAGAGGAGGGACACAAAGATGATCAGAAGGCTGGAGCCCCTCTCCTATGAAGAAAAGTTGAGAGAGTTGGGATTGTTCAGCCTGGAGAAGGGAAGGCTTCGGGGACACCTTATTGCAGCCTTTCAATACTTAAAGGGGGCTTAGAAGAAAGACACAGAGAGAGTTTTTACCAAGGCCTGTAGTGACAGGACAAGGGACAATGGTTTTAAACTGAAGGAGGGTAGGTTTAGATTGGACATAAGGAAGAAATTTTTCATGACGACGGTGGCAAGACATTGGAGCAGGCTGCCCAGAGAAGCTGTGGATGCCCCATCATTGGAAGTGTTCAAGGTCAGGTTAGACAGGATTTCGACTAGATGGTCTTTAAAGGTCCCTTCCAACCCAGACCATTCTATGATTCCCCTCCGAAATAAGCATCGAAGAGACACAGCAATCAAAGCAGATGGACTGCATTTTCAGCTTTTCTTACCTGCAGGCATACAGCATGTTGGACATAAAGGTGATAGGGTTAGTACTGCGAGAGGTGTCCATCACATAAACAACAACTGAAGGAAAAGAGGAAGCCTGGAAACACAAAGTAAAAGATATTTTAATTAGAAGTAAAATGCTGTTCAACAGCCACTACTTTCACACAGCCTCACTGTCAAGTCATGTAGGAAACACTTACCAAGGCCTCAGTTATGATGGTTCCTGATGCTGACCAGGTGAATACCTCAATTTGCCCTGGTGTGTCAATAATAACATACCTGTTAAGAAGTCACCCCCAACAAACAACAAGGGAAAATTAGTTAAGCACATGGTCCCGTTGTCTGGACTAGATTACCACAAGCACGTAACGGCAAATCACATGATTATTCAGTTACGGATCAGAAAAGCTTCTCCCAAACAGTGACAAGATTTATGGGCATGCCTGAAAATTTCCTGTGTGAATTTTGTAACTAAGAAGCATGTACTCTCTTCAGATTCTATTAAAGTTGAAGGCATCAATTTGACAGACACTTAGTACTGCAAACTCTTCAGAAGAATTAATTGTTGCCTATTTGAACAGCGCATGAGAAAAAAATGACAGTCTAATGGGAGATGAGAAAAGCAGAACTTGAATCAGCAGACATTTCTTCCATGTAGCTGAAGAAAGTCTACTTTATCTGTTCTAATTTTATGCCCTTTTCCACACAAAATTTATACCAAGAAAACGTGCAGAGAACATTTTTAGGATTTCACATGGTTTTCCCACACTGACCCCAGAAAAGTAGAACTTGGTAGAATATACTCACTTGGATGCATTTTGTCTTTTTTCAATAAACTTCATCACCTGATTGAAAAAGAAGGCGTATACTTCGTTATTTAGGCTCACAACAGGAAACTTTCATAATCATTTCATAACAGAAACTACATTAACTTGCACAGCTGCATGTATGTATCAAAAGAAGATTAAAGTCTCTAAGCTTTTCAGTGTGTGAAAATGCCCTACTAAGGAAGGGTGAAAAATGCTCAGACACTGCATAGCTCAAAGACAACCTTGATTTTGTCTGCGTTCTAGTACCTGGCTAAAGAAATGGTATAACAAATGCAGCTGTTCCCTACCTTTTTACTAAGAGACTGTGCACTGTCTCAATATCTTGCATAAGTTCTCACCCCAGCGCTGATTTAGCATTATGGTTTAAGAGAGCAGTCAATTATCAAATAACCCTAGGAAAACTTAACCTGTCTCCAGAAGTGAGCTTCCCTACTTCGAAATCAGAGCATTCATGTGAAAGATTTTATGATGAATGCAGTGCAACAGAACAGTTACGTACAAAGACTGAAGATTGTGCTGTACACGTGACTTCTAAATTTTACTTTTAAAAAAAGCTGAAAAACTGAAATCTCTCAAATGAAAGCTAATGCGTTTTGGCTGCTTTGTAAAATACATGGTTCTGCATGGAGAATACTCTAACTCCAAAGCAACATTAGGAGACTAACCAAACACAGTGCTCTCTGAGACTCCAAATACCCCCACCCCCCAGTCTCCCAGCACAGTATTTGTAGCACAGTGTCACATAGGAACAACCTTGTACCTGATCAAATCTTGTAGCAAAGAGATTGAGAGAGGTCACTATTCCACCATTTGGGCCCAGCCCATATCTAGATGCTTCATTTAGGAAAGCAGATGATTATGCAGACCTCAGAGGGCTTCTTTTTCAATTCTGATAATAGTTGGCCATGTACAATGCACATGGGATACCCTGCAGCAAAAAATACCCCTAATACACAATTAAGTCTTCTAAGTGATGCAGTAGCATAACAAATACAAAGTGGTGTTTCTCTTGCCCAAACACGTGTGATTGACAAAAGGAAAAGGGGCTATGCCCTGGCTTCCCCTTGCCATTATTCAAGCATTTCCATTCTGGACAAAGAGAAAATGTACATATGTGTATACATCAAAGCCATTTTTGTCCTTCCAAAAGGATTTACAATACAGCCAGTAACTCAGAATTTAACAATGCATTGAATGCAATTTTAAGAATTTATACTTCAAAAGAGAATTAAAAGATTTCTTGTACAAATAATTTTTAGCAGAATTCAAATGATAATGGGAATGAATGTTGTAAAGATACTCAAAGTGTCAGCTTAAAGATGAAGATTTCAAAATCCTTCTTCATGCATACAGATCTGTATACCAATTACGTTCAAAGAAACAAAGAATTTTTTTTTTAACTGCATAAGAACCAGCACTGACTCATAAGTAAATACTGTCTTCTAGGGCCACTACTCTCAATATCCAAACAAGAGGCCAGACACCCTCCTTAAGCACCAGTTAATGAGATGCTTAAACTCTGGTAATGGCTAACAGACACAGTAAACCAAATAATGCACCTACATACCAAACTGAAACTTATACTTGGATGTTTTGCTGGTAACTCCAAATCAAACAACAGCCAAAATCAAGAATCCTATCCCCCGTCAGCTTTATTCTTGTCTAAAATATTAAATTTAAGACTCACACTAGCAAGTCAAATCCAAACACTGTATATTATCTCCATCTGCACAAGCTATTACTTAGGAGACAAAGGACCTCCATACCCCTCTGGAAGTGCAGTCATTTTAGTGTGATGTTAGCGAACCACAGTCATCAAACTACTGTGCAGCAAGAGCCAACAGTCCAACGTCTTTGAGATTCAGAAAGACAACAGTGCTTTGATTATGGTCAAACAATGTGGAAATAGTTTTCTGTACTTACTACAGGCAAATAGGAATTTGCATACTTGTTTATAACAAATAAAATTAGACTTTTTAAAACATGGGGAAAAGGCTGCTGGCTTCCACAAAGAAAGATACAAGCTCTTCAAAAAAACAACAGGGAAAAAAAAAGATGTGGGCAGAGTGCCTGTTATTTGTAAAAATGTACTATTAGGCAGAATCACTTTTAGCACAGGAGAAAATGACCTAAGGAGTATCAAGTCTTGTAGAACATACATTTCTAACCTCACATTCAAGAAATGCATAGTCAAAAACTTCCGATCTTCACGCAACGTTCTGCATCACTGCAATCCCCAACACCTCCTGCCCCCTTCATCGTAGTGTGCAGAAGTGACAGACTATTTTCACAAAATCTGAGATTTCAAATATCATTATTTAGACAAAAAAAGGATACTGTTTCATGACTTCTTTGTACTTCACAGTGTCCCTGATATCTAGAGGAGGAAGAAGTATAAACAGTTTTAGGACATCACTTTTAAAATACCCTTCTTCATCAATTTGCTGATAGGTGAAAGCCCTCCTTTTTCTAGCAAATCTCCTTTTGTCTCAGTATTAGATCCAGCACCGACAGGAAAAATCTCCCAAGTAGAATAAATAAAAATCTAACAGATTTGCAATGCTCTCAACATACATATGAAACATAATTCACATGAAACACCACCAATTTAGGTATTTAGCAGTAACCACTTCAGCTGAATTTTCTTCTTATCTCTTCAACATCCATTAATAAAGTATACGTATCTAACTGTATTATTAGAGATCCAGCACTGGAACAGATACTCTAGTTATTCATCTGACATCAATAAAACAACTTTGGTATCCACATTGCCTTTCTTATCATCTGGAGAGGCCGGCTGACAAACTTTAGAAAGTTTAGGAGACAAGTCCCTCACAAACCTAATGATTGGTAAGCCCTTTGGAATGGCTAAACATAAGGTCTGTTTTACTGTCTCTATCTCTAAAATTCATGCCTTTTAAAGTGCTTTGAAGAAGTCATTTGGTAGCACATATGGCCCCCTCTGTGCTGGATGTAGGGAACCAGATCGAATCTGCTAATACGTTCATTGCTGACAAAGAAAAAAAAAAAAAAACCCACAAGAACCCAAACACATCAAATGACACCAGATGATGTAAAAAACCGTACAAGCACGATGGAAGAATGCCTTTGGTCCTAAAAATTCACACGTTAAAGACTGGTAGGAGAAAGGAGTGAAATTTAAAAAAAAAAAAAACCCACAAACCTTAAAGTCCTTCTTGTGTCAGGACTTGGAATCTCTTAAAGAGAATAGAAGCAACCTAGCAAACAGCTCGCATACCCCGCCCGCTCTCGCGGAACACACGAAAGGCACTCTACCAAACCGGCTTTATTTCTGCATGGCAAGACAGTCCCGCTTCCTTCTGGCGGAGCGGGCAAACGCGCCGCGCGCCTGGCCCGGGCCCTCCCGCACACCCATCGCCGCGCGCCT